TTTTTTTTAGTATTTTTTGTTGATAGATTATTCTTTTTGGGTTGTTAAAGGCAGCTGTTTTATTTTGAATACATAGTGGTGGGACTTTCCTACAGTGTTGACTAGATGCACCTACCTTTTCGAACAAGCTTATGTCATGGCTTGCATCACATAACCGCGAGCATGTCACATCATTCAAAACTTCATTTTTACTTTTATACTCATACTCCTCCAACGCTCCACAAACCTTCTCATCTTTATGAGTCTCACATGTTTCTCACTTACTATAATATTAATATTATAAATTATATATATACATATATATATATATATATATATTTTAATTTATGGCCACATGTCTTATCTCTCCTACCTACAACAACTATTATTTTTATTGTGTGTGTGTGTGTGTTTTTTTTATAAACATTAAGATGGTTCAATTAATGGTAAAGCTTTGGAAGTGGGGGTTTTTAAACCTCCTCAGAAGGCTACCATTAAAGATGCTCTTAGAGGTGATTGGATATAATTTACTCTTTGTTTGGAATTTGGGGATCAATTGCAGCCTCGTGCCTTGCCGATGGTAAATTATTGAGTGATTAATTTAAGCCTCCTCAAAACAGCTCTTGGCTTTGGAGGAGTTGGATGAGTGTTTGTCCTTTATTTGACAGGGCTTTCTTGTGATCATAAAAGATGGCATGGTACTAGAATTTGGTACCACACATGGATACCAATAATCCCAAATCACAAACCAAGCAGAAGAAGCCCTACAGCTGCAGCAAACCTCACTTGTGTTAAGGAGCTCAAGATACCCTACAGCTGCAGCAAACCTCACTTTTGTTGAGGAGCTCATGATACCTCACTCATATATATGGAATGAATCACTTATCAGACAAACTTTCAACCCAACTGATTGTGAGGCCATTCTCAAAATCTCCTCACTCAACTCAACCCAGAAGGGCAGGATCTCTCGGAGCTTCAACAGGAAAGGGAACTTCTACGAGGCTCTTTTAAAAAGTAAAATCTTCGGCATGGACCTCCTTGAATCGAGCAGCCAATCCACTTGGTTCAACAAAGTCAGAAGCATCAATTGGAAACTAAAGATTAAGAGAAAAATAAAACATTTCATCTGGAAGTGTTTCTCTGGTATTCAACCTTCACAACACAATCTGAACAAGAGAGGCCTGCACCTTGACAAAATCTGCAAGGCCTGTGGTGACAAGGAGGAAACCAATGAACACTTATTCAATTGTCCTAGAGCCAAGGAAGTATGGAAACTTGCACCGGTAAGCTGGACCAACTTACAACAGGACATACACTGTTTCAAAACTTGGTGGAAAGAGGTTTGTTTAATGCACAAGAACAAAGCTGCAGCTGGCAGGCAGGATCAAATTAACCACCTATATACTATGGTAATTATGGAAATCAAGGAATCTTTTGGTATTCAAAACCAATGGCAATCAAAGAAAGCTACTGTAGATGTTGCTTGTTCATAATGGCTCGAATTTTCAGCTCTTAGTTTGTTTTTTCTTCTAGCTAGGTGATCTTCACAGTGGCTAAAAATGCTATTCTTTTTTGTCTAATGGTGTATCCCAGGGCCCCAGTATCTTATATTGCCCGATGGTTGTGCCATTAGTCCCTTCATTCCTCATAGACCAACTTGTTTGACTCTCCATTTCTCCAGTTAGTAGTTAGTCCTTAGTAGTTAGTTCGGTTAGTTTGCTTGTTGCAGTTGGAGACAATTAGCAATTTGTTGCTTTTCTATTTTTGTAACAGTGTTCTTGTAATATGCGTGTTCTTGTAATATGCTAACTCTGTGTTCTTCCTTTCTTTTTTTTCGTTTCAAAAAAAAAAAAAAAGAGAATTAATAGTGTTGCCACTACCTCTCCTTGGTGACTCGAACCCATGACATATCGGCCATAGGTGGAAAAACAAAAAAGAAAGAAAAAATAAAAGAAAAAATAAAAAAACAGAAGCTTAATTGCAAAAGAGTACAGCTATTTTCCAAAATCACAAATACCGTGACTCCTCTATTCTACAAATACTCCTCCCAATAATAAAGCTCAATCTCTAAACAAAAACAAATCTAACAAAAAATCTAACCGAGTTTGTTTTCATCTGTAACACAGCCTAAAGCTAAAGCAAAAGCTTTTTTTTTTTCTACTAACTTACCTGCAATCTCCATAGTACAAGCTTTTATTCCTCAAAACCAATAATCTCACACAACGCCACTATAACCCGGGCACCTCGAAAGCTTCCCCACCCGCATTTCCCTTCTCACAACAAAAGCATCGTCCCACCTCCCCACATCTGCATAAAGATTCGAAAGCAAAACCCTACTCGGCCCATGCGTGGGCTCCACCTCTGCCAAATTCCGAGCTGCCCTCTCACCTATATCCGTATCTCCATGCACTTTACATGCGGCCAGCAGCGTGCCCCATATGATGACATCAGCCTTCATCGGCATACTATTTACGAGCTCCTCAGCCTCTCTCAACCTCCCTGCCCGGCTCAACAAATCCACCATGCACCCATAATGCTTGATATTTGGCTCTAAACCATGAACACATCTCATGCTCTTAAAATGCATTTCCCCTGTTTCAACAAGCCCAGCATGGCAGCACGCGCTCAGCACTCCTATGAACGTGATCGAATTCAGACTTATTTTTCGGCTCTGCAGATCTGAAAAAATCTTCAAACACATTTCCACGTGGCCGTGCGTTGCTAGGCCACATATAATTGAATTCCAAGGCGAGACCTCTGTTGCTTGCTCTCGAAACTGATAGAACGTTTCCAGAGCCAAATTTATGCACCCGCACTTGGCGTACATGTCGATTATAGCAGCACTCAGATTGTTGGTGATTGGGATTCTATTGCTGCAAATATAGTTGTGGGCCCGTTTACCCTCATCCAGAGCGCCTAGGCCCGAGATGGCAGAAAAAACACCGATCATAGTAATCTCGTTCGGCCTGAACCCTTTGTCCACCATCTCGTGAAAGAGCTCGACGGCCAAATTAAGCTGCCCGTTCTGCGAGCAGCCAGAAATCATCGAGCTCCATGAGAATATGTCCCTTTCGGGCATTGTGCTAAACAACCGCACGGCCTCATCCACCATCCGGTTTCTCATTAGACCCGATATGAGAGCGTTCCAACACGCCACATGCTCACTACTTCCTTCCTCAAACTGCAAAACGGCATTTTTAATTTCCCTACAGGCTCCGTAAAAATGAACTAATGTCGCCTGCATGAAATGGTAAAGGTTAAAACCAGTTTTCAACGCCACACAGTGAAACTGCCGCCCCTCGACGAGCTTCCCCGCCTGTCCACAGCAAGAAAGTAAGTCGACTATCATAACCTCATTAGGGGCCAAGCCTGTGTGAGTCATTCGGTTATACAGATCTACAGCCTCACCTAATCTCCCGGCCTGCACGTACCCGTCGATCATCGTACCCCATGAAACTACATCTTTCTCAGAAATGTCCTCAAACAGAGCCCTCGCTAGATCGAGCGAACCTGCCTTCACATACCCGTTGAGCATCACATTCCACGAAACAACATTTTTTTCCTCCATGTTAATGAATACGGCCCGCGCGTCATTCAGGCACGAATTCATGCAGTAAAGGAGGATAAAATTGGTCGAAACAATAACATGCCTGTCGAGGCCGAGTTTCAGGGCCAGCCCGTGCAAGAACGTCGCGGGCCCTTTCCCGATGCGTGCGTGGGCCTGCACAACATTGGCCATGGTTATTTCACCCGGGACGACCCCATTTGACCTCATCTCCTTAAAAAGTTCAATTGCCTCATGATAAAACTCTTTCTGAGCCAAGCCCATGATCATGGTTGTATAAGATACGCAATTTCTAACCGGCATTTTATCGAACAGCTGGTGGGCATCATTCAGAAAGCCGTGCTTCACATAACCCGCGAGCATTATGTTGCACGAGACGTAATCCAGCTTGCGGGAGGTGTCGAAAATCGATTTCGCGCAGGAAAGCCGGCCGGTTTTGGCGTACATGCTGATCAAGCTGTTCTGGATGAAGATATTGGAGTCGAGCCCGGATTTTAGAATGAGACAGTGTAGTTGCCGGCCGTGTGGGTTTAACGACGGGGCTGACGAGACGCATTTCAGGGCTGAAATTAGCAAGTGTTCTATATAATTGGGGTTTTCGTCGTCGTTCTTGAGGAGGGTTTGCAGCTGCAGGCATGGTGAGGGAATTGTGCAGAGGCATTTGAAATTGATCTGTCGCGAGAGATTATGGGGTCTTAAAGCAAGGTTCATTAGAAGGCATAAGCAGGGTAAAGACACAGTTTTGCAGATTACTGGTTTTCAAATGACCGACGGACTACATATTTCCGTTGGTCTTAGGCTCGGAGAGACTGAGAGGACGACCCTCTAATGGAGTGGCTATTACTAGAATCGAGTAGACATGGTCCAGGCCAGACCGGCCACAAAGAGGCCAGTTGACCATGAGTCTTAAACCATCTCTTGATTTTGATAAGTCGGTTCATGTTCAACAATTTATAGTTTATATATTCTGAACGGTGGCTCGATTTTGAATTGGTACTAGAACGGGAGGTTCCGACCTTTTTTTTTTAAAAAAAAAAATATTTTTTAATTATATTTTTTGTTTTAATGAAACGGGCGGCCAATAACCGACAACTCAATGAAACCGGTCAGTGCATATGTTCGGACTTACGATTTCAACCCTGAACCAATTTTAGCCAGAAAAAATAAATGATTTTATTATAAAAAATGATGTAAGAACATTTTGTGTGTAATTAGAGTATCATCTCTAACATCTATCTATCTTCTATCTATATATTAAAAGAATAACAATTTAGGAATTGCCGCTAAAAAAAACCCGCCAATTATGTATATGTATTCACCCGCCAATTCTGTATAGGTATTCTGTGTAGATTATCTTTCTTGATTTTTTGGATAGATAGT